TGGGAGGGCCCGCAGCCCGCATGGACGTCCGCGCGCGATGTGCGCCGCGTCCCATTCCTGCCACATATTTCGCACCGTCGGCGACAAGGCAGGCCATGCTGAGAGGAAAAATCTGAGTTTTTATATTGATTTTTTAAAGTCAGGATGGGCGGGCCCGGATTGACGGCCGCGCGCGATGTGCGCCGCGTTCCATATGTGCGCCGCGTCCCACTGTGGCAACATATTTCGCACCGTCGGCGACAAGGCAGGCCATGCTGAGAGGGAAAAGCGAAGACTTTGTATTGATTTTTAACAGTCAGGATGGGCGGGCCCAGATTGACTGCCGCGCGCGATGCGCGCCGCGTCCCATTCCTGCCACGCTTTAGTCATCGTCGACGACAAGAAAGACGATGTTGAGAAGAACAACGACCACTTTGTATTGTTTTTTTTAAAGAGTCCGGATGGGAGGTCCCGGATCGGGTTGCTATCGGCCGGGATACGAGGTAGGTGGGGTATATAATAATAAAGAACAAGGATAGGCCCAGGGGGGACGCATCGACCCCCAATCGCCCATTCATCGCCGACCGGTGCCCGATAGCCCAGGCTTCCCAGGACCGTCCAGTTTCGTCATCGGGTGTCTTTCGCCGATCTATCGGCGATGTATCGCCGATCTTGGGTTGAGGTTGATGATTCCCTCCCCGAATCTGTTAGCCCCGAGCGCGCCACAGACTTAGTTTGGGGAGCGTGTTCGAAGCCGAGGCTCGCCGTGGCCAGAGCAGCCCGTCCGTCCCGTGCTTGGCGTTCCCTTGGGTAGCACGGTGTCCCAGCCTGATGTCCCCCTCCTTCAGGAGGGACAAAAAGCACACAGACACAATTCATCGCTGATTCCTTCGAACATATGGGGAAATATGGGAAGTGGCGCAGAAGACAAATCCCAAGAAAGTATGGGAAACTATGGAGAATCCTTTGATTTTTGTGTATTAATTTGTGTGTCCCAGGGCCCCTTTTCACTCATCTCCGAGAACCCCACCGCCTGCTCAGAAGGCCGCCCCTGGCGCCCCCGCCAGTGGCGGGGCCTGCCTTTTGTCCGTCCCTGCTCTCGGCCGGGCCGAGGCCCAATCTGCAGTGGGGACGCGCATGGGGAGCACATGCATCCATCGGGGTGCTTCCTTCCTTGCCCGCGCTGCGCGGTGGCCTCCTGCGAGGGTCGAGAAGCCGCGGCGTTTCCCCAACGTTTTGCACCTCGCGCGCGGACTTCCAGGGTTTGGCTTCTTGCGAGGGGTGTCACGCGGCATCGTCCGCACAATGCCTCAACAGTCTCTCTGCTCCTTCTGCCAGCTGTGGCCGAACGGCTTGTATCCATCCCTCCATCGCTCAGAAGGGAAAACACACAGACACAATGAATCGTCGATCTCCCAGGAAAATGTAGGAAAATATGGGAATTGGGGGGGAAGACGAAAACCTAGAAAATCTGGGAAACTATGGGGAATCATTTTATTTGTGTGTGTATTTATTTGTGTGTCCCACGGCCACTTTAATCTCATCCTGGCCTAGCGTGTGGATCCTGAGACATGGTCGTTGGATGCAATTCGCGTATTTGTTCCTCGGGCACCCGCATGTGTTTCAAGGAACCTGTGGACGCTACTCCTCCTCCTCCTCCGCCTCCGCCTCCGCCGCCGCCTCCTGCACAGACTTCCTGGCGAATCTGGAGACTCGCGCCGCAGAGCGTTGCTCTTTTGTTTGGCGTCCGGAGGCCGCTTCCGGGACCCACAGATGTTCTCAAGCCGACTCGGGATGAGAATCGGCCACGCGCAGAGGGGGGTAGGGGGAGAGGGGTAGGCCTGTTAGAAGCACCCCAGATTCTTAGGAGGCGCGGGCCGTGTCTGTAGATGTAGAGCCGCCGCCTTCTAAGAAGCGGCTTCCTGCTAAGAAGCCCTCCCCCCACCCCCTACACTGTGGTGCGCGCCGCCACGAGAAGCCCGTCCGTGGGAAGTCACCGAGAGACCAGGCTCAGGGCCCATGATTGAACAGGTCACGGCGTCGGAGGTCGGGATCCACCAGCTCCTTCGGCTTCTCCTCCCCCCTCCTCCTCCTCCTCCTCCTCCTCCTCCTCCTCCTCCTCCTCCTCCTCCTCCTCCTCCTCCTCCTCCTCGTCCTCATCATTCTCCTCTCCCTCCTTCCCTCCCTCCCTCCCTCCCTCCCTCCTCCCCGCCCCCACCCTCCCTCCTCCCCACCTCCTCCTGCCCCCATCCTTCGGCGTCTCCTCATCTCCCTTGGCTTCTTCCTTTCCCATCATGCTGCCTATATATCATGTTGCAGCTTGGCGGCCTCGAGGCGGTCCAAAGGTGCAAGGGCGCCAGCCCTTGGCCTTGCTTTGCTCAATGTTGTTGGTTGGAGGCGCTCGTGAGATGCGCCCTCCAATGCATAGACATGCGCTGAGGACGCTGGCTGGGCGATTGCTGCTGTGGCCACCAACACCTACCCCCCCCTTCGTGCCGAACACACTTCTCCATCCCACGAGGTGGGCCTATACGATGACTTCGTGATGCTCCTCGACTTCAACAGCCTGTACCCGTCCATCATCCAGGAGCACAACATCTGCTTCACCACCGTCGAGAGGCCTGACTGGGAATGGGGAAGAAGGAGGAGGACGGATTTGTGGAGGGGAGAGGGAGGAGGGAGAATGAGGCGGATAAGGATGTGGATGAGGGATGATGAGGATGAGGGGTCAAGGAAGGAAATATCACCCGGACCCGACGATTGGCATTTACTAAATTGCCGCGGGCGTTTTCTTAAACAGCCTTGCCCTGTTCGATTACTTCCCAGGGTGCGTTTACTAAACGGCCTCGCTTGTCGGGGTTCTTATTTAATCGCTTCGCTCATTCCGCCGGCCCTGGAGCGCTATTTGGGGCCTCTTGGGGCCGTCTTGGGGGCTTCTTGGGGGCTTCTTGGGAGCGTCTTGGGGCTCCCTGGCGGCGTATTGGGCTCCCCTGGGGCCTCTTGGGGGGCTCTTGGGGGCCCCTTGGGGCGGGAGGGGTGGTAGTCGATTGCAGCCACCCCCTCGGAGGCCACGATCCTCGCGCGGGACCCAGCCCGGGATCGGCCGGGGTACTTTTCGCCCGGGGCCCCCCAGGGGCCGCCCCGCGCGCGCGAACTAGAAATATTGTTAAGTAGTTACCGGAGATCTTAGCACGCCTCTGGCCCGTTGGGCCGGCGAATTATGGGGGTGGACGTGCTGCCTCCTAGGGGAGACGATGAGGGATGATGGGGAGGAGGCGAGAGGATTCGCCTCCCAGCTGGGTTACAACTTGTCGCGGGTATGAACAGAAGGTTCAGCTTTCGTGTTCTTGTTGTCTTGCATCGTGCGCTTTCCTGCCGGTCGGCTTCAGCTGAAGAAGAGAGGAGCAGCAGGACCGGGCGACGCAGAAGGGCAAGGAAGAGGACTCGGAGAAGCAGGAGGAGGAGCGAAAGGGCTCCTCCTCTTTGCGACAGAGAAGGAGAAAATGAGAGAGAGAGGGATATAGAGAGAGAGAGACAGATAGATAATGATAACCAACAGAAGAGAGAGAGAGAGAGAAAAAAAGAGAAAGAGGGAGGGAGGGAGGGAAAGAGAGAGAGAGAGAGCGAGAGAGAGAGAGAGAGAGCGCGAGAAAGAGAGAGCGAGAGTGCGAGAGAGAGAAAGAGAGAGAGAGAGAAAAAAAAAGCTCACCCCGCGACCCTCCGCGGCCACATCGGTCCAGCCTTCTTGTTCCGTACCCGCAGCTGCTCGGCAGAGGCCGCGCGCCAGGAACAAGAACATTTCACCGCCTGGGAGATGTATTCTTACATACCCTTTCTTTTCATATCATCGTGCTTTTTTGTTTTGTCCCTCCTCCATGGTCTTCTCTATTCCGCCCTCTTCGTCGCCCTCCCCCCTTGTCCTCCCCCCTTGTCCTGGCCCCCCTCCCCACACTCGTGGTTGGGGCTTCCTCTTCCTACCCCAGACCATCCTCCCACTGATACCCGTCCGCCCCCCGATCTGATCGCAAGCGTTCGTTGATTCATTCCTTGTGCATCCACCACCACCCGCTCCTCCCGCTTCGCATCCCCATCCTCCGCCGCATCCTTCCCATCCTCATTCTCCTCTCCGTCCTCCTGCTGGTCGTCTTCCTGCTCGCAGCAGTTGTAGGCTCAGGGTCCAGCGGCCACGGAAGCCGTACAGGAACCTCCACGGGCACGGTCTCCCGCGCCAGGTTGCGAGCAGAACATGCCGGCGACGAAGCTGGTTGTGGCGGCGTGCGTTTCGGTCTTTTCGGTGGGCAGAAGTCTCCCGAAGACGTGCAGCGCGTACAATGAGTGCGGGCATCTTCTCGGTGACTGCTGCCCCAACAAGGACGGCGTGATGCTCGACTGCTGCATCCTGGGGGCCGTGCGCATGAGCGCGGAGGCACTGGAGGACGCCGCGAACAAGACGAAGGCACGCGCCGCAGAGGTGTCCAAGGAGGCCGACGAGGCTGCAGCCAGGGCCGCAGCGCTGGAGAAGGAGGCGGAGGAGAAGAAGGCGGCGGTGAAGGAGGCGCACGAGGCGTACGCGGAGGCGGAGCACGCCGCAGAGGACGCCAAGGCCGAGTACGCGAAGACGTCGAAGCTGATCTCCGAGTCCAAGTGCGAGAACAACCCGGCGTGCGACGAGGCGGGCCTCACAGGTTCCCAGACTTTTGCTGCACCCCTTGGCCCGATCCCGCAGGGGCCTCGGCCCCTTTCCTCGGGGGGCAGTTTCTCGCCCCCGATGCGTCTTTGATGGCCTTCGGGCCCGCAGATTGCGCCCACAGGCTGAGATAGGGGAAGAACGGCGGGATGGGAGGAGGGGGAGGAGGAGGAAGAGCGGGAGGGGCAGGAGGAGGAGGAGGAGGAGGAGCAGTAGAGGGATGAGAGGCGGAGGAGGAGGAGGAGGCGGAGGAGGAGGAGGAGCGGAGGGATGGGAAGCCCACGAGAGCCAAGGCGAGCGACGTCACAGAAAGCGAGCCGATCCGCGCGGCCGCTCGCGCTCTCAAGCTGCCTGCGCAGGCTGGAGGCGCGCGGGCGGCCGTGGCTCTCCGCGCGGCGTGCCGCGCGGGGAGGCCCGCCCGAGCCCGTGGAGAGAGAGAGGTCTCGCGCAATGCTGCCGCGGCGTCGTGCGCAGGGGCCCCCTCTCGGGTACAGCCGGGACCCTGGTTGAGGGGAGCGGGTCAGTGATTGGCCCCCGAAGCCAGAAGATGGACTGGGATTTCTGAGCCGGGTCTGCCGTGGCTGATGCTTTTTGGGTGTCGGCAATGCCGGTCAGTGGAATTGGACGGGGGGGCACCCCCGGGTACACATCAGTAAACCAGGTCCCACTAAACCTACTTCTGCCAATGCCCGACTCTCCCCTGCAGATGGCGCCCGCTCTGGGGCAGGGCTCGTTGCGATTCATCCGATTCGATTCGAGTCGACGTCCATGGCTTCCGATTCCGACTCGATTCGGTTCGGCTTGGGATTCCGACGTGGATTCCGATTCCCTACTGGAGGCATTGTAGCCTGCCGATTTCTGCCGGTTCGACTTTTCCCGACTCGGTTGCCGATTGCCGCCGATACGGTTCATGTCGATCGCCGATCCGATTTGTCGATTCGTTTCTGGGCTCTCGTGCCATTCTAGGGGAACAAATACTGACATGAACACAGCGTTGGAGGGCCGCGCAGATCTCTCAGATCGGCGCTGGGGCCCCCTGCAGGCGCCTCCAGCGTCGCCCCTGGCGCGCTCAATCTGCAGGGACCTCGAGTTTTTATGGTTAAGTTATGCCATTGCTTGTTCCCGTACGTTCACCGCCAAGCCTTGCCAGGGCCATCGTTGGCCCATGGATCGCGTGTTCTGAACCCTCCTGGCCTCGGCCAGGAGGGCGCGTTCACCAGCGCGGGGACCAGGATGGTCCGTGGCAGGTCATGGTGGTGGTGGTGGCGTAGAGATCATTGACCACAAAAGAACCCCGAACCCCAATCACACGGATGAAGACGTGACGTGGCCTCATTGGGGTTTTCGTTCTCGCATTAGGGATCATACTTCTGGGCGGTTTGATCTGACACATCCACACAAAAGATTCCCTATCCCTAATATTTTCGGCCCTCCAACCCTGACCTTCCAGGAGGGCTAAAGCATCACACCGGGACGTCGACGTCCTCGTTCCTGTCGAGGCCTGAGGCAGTCCGGTTGGATCCATAGGTCTGCAGTGCTGGTTGTTGGCGCACTGGAAGGTCAGGGTAACTCAGGCCTCCCCCCAAAGGGGCAGGGGGGTCCTCCGTTGGTCCGTCAGCTCCTCCTCCTCGTCCTCCTCGTCCTCCTCCTTTTCTTCCTCCTCCTCCTCCTCCTCGTCCTCCTCCTCCTCTTTCTCCTCCTCCTCCTCCTCCTCCTCAGCTCCTCAGCTCCTCCTCCTCTCCTCAGCTCCTCCTCCTCCTCCTCCTCCTCGTCCTCCTCCTCCTCAGCTCCTCCTCCTCCTCCTCCTCCTCCTCCTCCTCCTTTTCCTCCTCCTCCTCCTCCTCCTCCTCGTCCTCCTCCTCCTCGTCCACTGGGGCCCCCCGCGGAGGCGCGCAGCCGTGCGCGCCGCGCGATGTTTCGCGGCCCGCCGCCCTCCTGCAGCGGCAAACCTGCGGCGCCAGCCGCAGCCCCCCCTGCGACTCTCGGCTCCTGGTTTGCTATGCGCCAGAGGCCGAATGGGAGGCTATACGCCGGGAGGGAGCGGGGGAGGGAGGGAGGGAGGAGGAGAGGGGAGGGAGGAGGAGGAGGGAGGGAGGGAAGGAGGGAGGATGGAGGAAGGGAGGGAGGGAGGAGGGAGGGAAGGAGGGAGGAGGGAGGGATGGAGATTTATCCTCGCCCGATTCGGCCTCCCACAAGTCTTGACTTCTCTGGCTGTCCTCTTCGAGGAGTCCGGTCGTCGTCCTCCTCATTCTCGCGCTCCTGTCCGGCGGCGAGCGAGGGGGGAAGCGAGAAGGGGCGGGGCCTTCTCAGAAGGCTCGGAAGTGCCCCGGTCTTCCAAGGAGTTTCCTGAGCCTTCCCCGAAGACAGCGCGAGGGCTTCTCAGGAGGCGCGAGGGCTTCTGAGAAGTCCCGCCGCCTGCTGAGAAGGCCTTTTCCTCCTCATTTCCCCCTTTCGCTCGGAGCCAACCTCTTCTCCCCTCGGTTCGGTAGCACATCATGGGAGCCTTGTGTGTACCCTCGTGATTTTGTCATTGGCTTCGAGTGGCGTCGATTGGCGTCTGGGGAGTCGATTAGTGTCGATTAGCGTCGGTGTACCGTCGATTGGCGTCGATGTAGCCTCGATTTAGCATCGATTAGCGTCGATTTAGCGTCGGTCAGCGTCGATGCGCGTCGATTCACCAGAGCCGGCAAGATGGTGCGGGAGATTCCCACGAGTTGCCACCGAGCCTGGGCAGGCGGTGCGAGAGCGCGAAGCTGCTCGCGCTTCCCGCCCTCGCGAAGCGCCAGCGTAGCTGCCCTCGTGTTGAGTCGGGCGTGTCCCTCTACAGGAGGACGAGGAACATTCAAAAGTTGTCGAACAAATTGTCTGGGGACGTTTTTTTGTTGTTGTTTTCATCACTTGTTGACTCTTTTGGCGTATTTGTCGTGACTGTTTTGAATTTGTCGCCCGGAATCCGCCTCTAGGAGGACATGCCCGACGTGACCACTGTGTGCCCTTTGTCTTGGTATCGCTCGGACGTGTGCATTTTCCCTTCAGCGAGGACCATCGAGGAGCATCCTCGATCATTTGGCAAAAAGCCACGCACGAAACCGAAAACAACACAGGAAATGGACGCTCGCGCGATGGCCGCTAGTTGTCGCCCAGGCTTCTGCTGCCCCACGCTGGTCGGCATGGCGCTCAACGGCACGATGCTCGGGTGCTGCGGCGGGGGCGGCGGCGCCCCCGCGCGGGCGGCCGCCGCACTCCCGGGGGAGCCCCTCGCCGCCGTCTCCCTGGCGTCCGAGGCCCAGGACCTCCCGAAGACGTGCAGCGCGTGCCTCGATGAGGGCATGAGGAGGAGGAGGAGGAGGAGGAGGAGGAGGAGGAGGAGGAGGAAGCGGAGGAAGAGGAGGAGGAGGAGGAGGAAGAGGAGGAGGAGGAGGGAGGGAGGAGGAGGAGGAAGAGGCGGAGGAGGAGGAGGAGGAGGATTAGGAGGAGGAGGAGGAGGAGCAGGAGGGCCTTCCAACCCTCAGATGAGAACGATCATGTCTTCCTCCCGTCTCAGGGCCCTGGGGGCCATCGCGGATCGATCCGGCGCGAAGAGTGCAGCAGAAAGAGGCGGTCCAGAGACTTGGTCGTGATTTTTCGCGGTGTTGCTCACCAGCCTGGAACATATCCTTATCCCTATGTTGGGCGCCTCCTCATCACGATGCCAATCTTAGGGATTCCCTTATTTTTTGAAGGCGAATCCCTAAGATCGTCATCGCCCTTTGGCGTGTCAATCTTAGGGATAGGGATACGTTCGAGGCTGGTAATCGATGAGGGCAGAGGAGAGGGCTTCCCAGCCCTCAGATAAAAACGATCATGTCTTCCTCCCGTTTCAGGGCCCCGGGGCCATCGCGGATCGCTCCGGCGCGAAAAATGCAGCAGAAAGATGGGGTCCAGGGATTTGGTCGTGATTTTTCGCGGTGTTGCATCCTTGTTTCCGCAAATTCAGATCTCAGGGAACGTATTTCGGAGTGATCGGGTTTCCGGAGACAGGTTCCTGCGGCCTCGTGGAGGCCCTCGCAGAAACCTGCAGGTACGACGAGTGCGGGGCTCTCCAGGGCGACTGCTGCCCCAACGCTGAGGGCGTGATGCTGAGCTGCTGCATCCTGGGGGCCGTCCGCATGGAAGCGGAGGCGAAGGAGGCGGCCGCGAACAAGACGAAGGCCAGGAGGGGACTAGAACACACAAACACAATTCATCGTTGACTCCCAGGCAAATATGGGGAAACATGGGATGTGGCGGGGAAGACGGAAACCCCATAAATATTTCAAAAGATATGCGGAATCTTGGGATTTGTTTGTGTTTGTTTGTGTGTGTCCCTGGGCGCCTGTAGAAGGCCGCGTACGAGAAGGCGGAGCACGACGCGGAGGAGGCCAAGGCCGAGTACGCCGAGACCGCGAAGCTGATCACCGAGGCCAAGTGCGAGAACCACCCGGCGTGCGTCAAGGCGGGCGTCACAGGCTTCTGTTGTCCCACGTTGGTCGGCATGGCGCTCAACGGCACGATGCTCGGGTGCTGCGGCGGTGGCGGCGATGCTTCCGCGCAGCTCGCCGCCCTCCCCGAGGATAGGGGAACAGACAGTGACACTACCATAGAGACTCGGAGGTCCGCGCGGATCCTTCGGATCGGCGCTGGACCCCCCTCCCTGGCGCGCGGAGCGCGCCAGGGGCGGCGCCGGAGGCGCTGCCAGGGGGCCCCAGCGCCGATCCGAGGACTTCGCGCGGACATTCGAGTTCTCATACTTATGCTTAAGTCGAGCATGTCCCTGTAGAGGAGGAATATTCAAGAATAGTGCAGCAATAGTCTGGCGACGATTTGTCCTGCTCTCTTGACTATGTTTCAAGATTGTTTGATCATTCTTTCATGTCGTCCAAAACCCCTCCTGTGCGAGGACATGCCCGTCCTTACCTTATGGCATTGTTTGCTCCCCTACGAGGAGTCCCGCCGAGACGGCCCAAGGTCGCCAGCCTGAAACATATCCCTATCCGCATGATTGGCAGGAGTCTCTCATCTTCTCAAACTTCTATACTTGTCTATTTCCCTCACTCCAGAGACTATCATTTTCTCAACCTATAACTATTACCTATTATATGCACATGCCCTGTTCCATCTCCCCTATCCTATACCATCTTTCCCCCTATCCTATACCATCCCCCCTATCCTGCGCCTGTTCTATACCGATGCCACCTTTCCCTATCCGATACACCCTACTCCACTGCCCCCATCGCGTTGCCGATCGCAACGATCCCCTCCTTTTTCTTGAGGGCACACTCCCTAAGATTGTCAGGCTTGCTGACCTTGAGGGCCGGGATGCGTTCGAGGCTGGCCAGGCTCTTGCCCCTCGCCGCCGCCGCCGCGGCCGCGGCCGGAGCGGCCGCGCTCGCGGCGGGGGCCCGCCGCTGCCGCGGGGAGGCTCATGCGGACGGCTACGTCTTCACCGCAGCCTGAGCGGGCGGCACGAGCTCGCCTTGAAGCGCAGGCGAAACTGAGAGTAAGGATTCGAATGCAACTCCTGGGAGGTCAAACTCTGACTTTGCCCTGGTCCGAAATCCGGCTGAATCCGGCTTGATCCCCGTTTGATCCCGCTAAATCCGCGGCCGAATCCAGCGTAGTAGCCCCCCAATGGGGTTAAATTGTCCCTAATCCTTCCGACGGAAGGTCTCCCAGTAGTTGCCTCCTAACAAGGATGCGGTAGAGGTTCGTGTCGTGTCGACCAGCGGCGACCCCGCCGCTGGGGTTCCACGTTGAACGCCGCTGGCAGCCCAGAGTCGTTGAAGGTTGAACGAACGGATGTTTCGGAAGCGGCGGACGTTCAAGGTTGAACGATCCCTGCGGTGTCAGGAAGCAACGCCGTGGTCGACACGACACGAACTTGCCGCGAGCGACTTCCCAGCGTTACCCTTGCATCCTTGCCTCTTCGGTCATCTTCGGCCCCCCCTCGACCACTCTCGATGGCCAGCCCTGCTCGAAGCGTCGGAGTGGACGTTCAAGGCCCTTGCATCCTTACAGTCGGACCGAGGTAGGAGATCGAGGTCGGTTCGGAGAGGTACCCTAATGTTTCTCGTCTTTGTTGGATGCTTTTGTGCAACTTGGAGAGGGTACCCTTGGATTTTCTGTGCCTTTTGGCTGGCGGAGGGTCTCATGATCTGGAAGGATGTTCTTCTGTCCTAGGTTCGACTGTAACGCGCATGCTTACTCTCAGTTTTGACTGTAGACGGGTCCCGATGTCGACGAGCAAAAATTGCAAGAGCATGCATTTTCGGAGCTCTGCGCGGATTTTTCTTGGATCAGCGCTGGGCCCCGCTTGGGGGGTTCAGCGCTGGAGGCGCCGCCGCCGGGGTCAGCGCCGCTCCGATAAATCCGCGCGGACCTCCAACAGTTTCTGTTCGTGTAGTGTCTTGTTCCTCGAACGAGTAACTACAGCCAACACGCCGAGTAAGGACGCGCGCCTTCATCTAGGGTACTCTTGCATCCTTGTCTCTGCGGCCCGTCGTTTGCCGTTTTTCACTGGTCGCATGCCGCCCAAGACATCCCAACTTCGGTTTCCAAGGGTCTTGCGTTCTTATCACCCGTCCTTACTACACGGTTTGGCTGCAAACGCGTCCTGAGGGAAGTGGGTCGTGATGTCTTTCACGGCTGTTGGCCTTCTGGGACTCTCCACGGGCCCCAGGACCTTGCCGTGCAACGACTCACGACGAAAGGTTGGTCGTAGGGAAAGGCCGCAGGCTCCGGGACCCGTTTCCCTCAGGACCTGCCTCTCCCATGCCAAGCAAGCGCAGCGGTCCACGACAGACACAGGCCGCGCTCGTGGGTGACGACCTCTCCCCGTGCATCTCACGGCACTGCCGCGCTCAGATCCGCCACCGCGATTTGGGGTGCGTCGCAGCAGCGCTGCTGTGGCGCCGTGCGCTGCTGCGGCGCTGCGCGACGCGATGGCCTCTTAGGGGGGGCCCTCTGGCCTGGGGGGCTCTGCGCGGCATTCGGGCGTCTTGAGTGCAGTTCCGGAGGCCTTCGTGCCATCCAGTGGGCGTCCAGCTGGAGAGCCTCCTGACTCAACAGGGAGCCAGCTGGCGGTGGTGGCAGGCAGGTCTTGAGCCCTGTCGGAGCAGTGGGGCACCGTTGGGCCTCCTTGGGGCCTGGCTGGCGTATTCCTTGGCCTGGTCGTCCCAGGACCTTCCCCACACCTCGATGGCATCACCACGCGGGCCCCACACAGCGCTCAACCTCAGCCTCTTGCATCGGCGCCATCCCCAGGACCAGTCCTCCGTCGCGGGGCTGCTCCTGTGCTTGGAAGCGTCCCAGAGGGGGGTGAAGATTAGGGGCGCGTGGAGTTTCTAAGCCAAGCAAATTTATATAGCCCGGCAAGTTTATCTGACAGGCTGAAGAAGTGTTTCCGATCTGGCACCCGAGATGCGCCTCTCTCCGACCGCGTCGGCCAGGGGCCCGAACTGTCAATCCTGCCAGGAAGAAGGACTGCAGGCCGCTTGACCGTTCCCACTTCATCAATCAACCGGTCTCCATCCCTCTTCGAGGGCGGGCGGGCCGAAACAACACTATACCAACCGCGTTCTCAAGTCATGCTGCTGCGTACCTCTCCCGAAAGGCTTGTAATAATGAGCCGCTGCCAAAAATGCTTGGCGCGCCCGCTGCTGCAGAAGCGGTGGCGGATTGCTTTGATTCGAGACAGACGCCCCCAGCGATCACAGAGATGCTCGGGGAAACACGCTATCACGTCGCTTCTCACTTGTTGCCTTTTCTTGCCCCTGCTTCTGCTCCTCTCTCGACTCCCTCCTCTGTCACCCACCTTCGTCTCCTCTTCGTGACCATGCCCCGACACACGTAATGGTCAGGTGACCCTCTCAGCGGCACCCGTAGACCAGAAGTCTGGTGCCACGGCGGAGTGGGTCTGCCTCAGTGGAGTGGAAGAGGTGAGGCGGAGAGCGGGGAGGCAGAAGTTTGTTTAAGACGTTTCAGCGATAAGATCGAGGAGAAAGGGGATCAGGACAGTGCGGATGCGACGCTCGAGGCGACGCCACACGTCTCCATGACTCCCCGCCGCCCCCAACAGGAAGGGGGAGGAGGAATGGGGAGAAGGGGGCGGGGGGGATCTAGTTGGATCCCCCCAGTGGGTCGCTTGTCATTGCAGGCCAGTTTCTGCTGCAGCCTAGCAGAGGCCGCGAGAGTGGCGACAGTAGCGCAGTTGGCGAAGTCCAGCCTGGATCCCTCGAAGCCCGCACCCCGCTGGACCTCCCAGGAGATCACGACAGTGGCTACAGCTGCGCAGTCAGCAGCCCCCTGGGAATGCGAGGTCTCATCTGGGTCCGCGGCGGCCTTCCACGAAGGAACGGGTCACGCCGCCGGCTCCTTCTGAGAACTCCCCCGTGGTTCGTGATGGTCTTGCCCAACTCGCTTCTGTGCTCAAGCAGTGGCGAGGCGTCCTGTCTTGCCTGTGTGTTTACATGCCCACCAGGGAATGGTCTAAGAGCCTTCTTTGGTCTGCACGAGATGTTCTCGCAACATTCCCTTCTGGGTCCGTCTTGTTTTGAAATTTCTGTTTCGTGGTCTAAGAGCACTCCTGCTGTTCCTGGAACTCTCTCCTGTTCTACAGCGCACGTCGTGGTGGGCCGATCGGAATGCTGGCACGGTCGGTCCCTGCCCAGCGCGCGCCGCCAAACGCCGGGCGTGACTGGGACGAGCAGGGTACGACTGCTGCAGGCGAGGCGCAAGGGGAGAGCCCAGCAGCCGGAGGGAGCGGGCGGGCCTCGGGGACGGGAACGCGACCATGACCGGGCGACGAGATTTGCTCCACGTCCACCGCCGCTGGCCAGGCCCATCCTGGGCCCAGGAGCACTGCAGTCGCCCGCGGGGAAGCGGGTCCTGGGGGAGCCGGGTCCCGCGGTGCGTCACCGTTTTCGAGCCCCCGTGGCCCTCCATGGACCTTCCGAGAACGACTCCGGACGAAGAGCTCGTCCTGGGGGAAGGCCCCACGGGCCAGGATTCGTCTCCCTCGGGACCCGCTGCCCCCTTGATGATGCGAAGTGGCAGGTGCCTCCCTGGCCGGGCCAGAGGCCGCTCGCGGGCCCGATATGGGAGAGGGCCCATCCTGGGGCGGTGATCGTGTGTAGATGTCTTCGCGGCCGCGACTCGGGACGATCGAAGTGGGTACGGGAAGACTGGGCACAAAGGCCGACAGCAGTTCTGGTTCATCTTGAACCGGATCCGCCGTCCGCGTCGCCGCGGATGCTGTCCATTTGAGGCAGCAGGCCGCCTGCCCAACAGCGGCCGCTGTTGGTTGTTGGGCACTGTACCCATTTTTTGCGTACCCATTCCGGACGTCCAATTCTGGACCGTAAGTCTTTTGGATTTTTTCCTCAGCAGTTTCGTGAGCGTGGGAGGTTCAGCCAACATGTTTTTGGCGGAGGCCCGCACACCTCAGTTCCAGGCCTCCCAAGTGAGGTCCGAGCAGATGGGGTTGGTGGATCGCGCCGCATCGCCGATGCATGTGCGATGTGGCTCGATGCGGGGCCCGATTTGGTCCACGTCGTTGGCGCCGATGCATCGGCGATGCGGCGCGATCTTCCGACCCCTTCTACAAGGACCCCATTTGGGAGGCTTTTCTCTATACATGTGTGCATATATATATATGTATATATATATATACACATGTGTGTGTGTGTCTGTGTCAGTATGTCTGTGTGTCGGTATGCCGGTATGTCGGTATGTTGGTGTGTCTGTATTTGTTTGTTTGCATGTCCGTGTGTATGCATGGTGATATATATATATATACACATGAGGTTGCGCGTGCGTCTCCCAAGGCCGAACGAGATGGAGGTCTCCAAGTGCCAGAGCGAGGTGGAGCTGCTGGGCAGGACCCGGGCGCCGGACGGCACCGAGGAGGACGCCGCGCGGCGCGCTGCTGCGCCTGTGTGGGGCCTGCCGGGCTTGGCCCTCGCAGCGGGCGGCGCCCTGGGCCTGCGTGCGCTTTGGAGGCTCGGGACACGCGCGCTGACCAGGGCGCTCGAGTCGTAGTTGTCATCATCTTGAGGGAAGAAGCACGCGGACCATGACCAAGTGCCGCGGGGTCTTGTGGGCGCCGACCTTGGCCACGGTCCACGCCAGCCGTCGCAGATCCGCGAGGATGCTCCACACGTGGACGCTGGCCAGGGCAGACGATGACCAAGATCGACCCGACGTTTCCGCATTTCAGCCTTGATCATGGGCCACGTTTTCTTCCCCCCATCATCCTAAGCAGAAGTACAGTCGGGGCCCTGAAGAAGGAACCTTTTTCGTTGGGGAGGGGCTCCGCGTTCCTTAAGTGTTTCACAGCTTGCCTCAGGCTTTCCTTATGTTTTCGACAGGAAATCGAAGGTTAACTTATGGAAACAAGGGGCCTCGTTCCTTATTTAGGGTTCCTTAGGTCAACGCCCCGACTGTATAACATCGTGTGTGTGTGTGTGTTTGCGTGTGCGTGGTTGTTGCTTCGATGTTTGCTGACGTCTCGCGCTCGGCCTGGGATTCATCTTGTACGCTCCATCGCCACCCTGGATGGCACGCCTCCGCCCGCGCTGCGGCCGGACCCCCTGCGCGATGCACCGCGCCGGCAGGACCTCGGGTATGAGCTCAGCGACGGGCTAGCCAATTCACCTTTTGTAACGACATTTTAAAAGGACAAGAGAGTTTTTGTATTGGAGCTATCTGACCTTGAAACTCAGAACAATAACAACAGCAATAGGAACACATTGAAACACAAATAAAACACACAAATATGGTAATATGAACAGTTTTGTTTTTGTGCATTCCAGTTTCTCTGTGACGCGACAGCCCCGACGTCGAGATGCTGCTCGTTGATGCGATCTGTGGGCTCAGCAGCATTGCTGCAGAGGGGCCTCGCCAGCGCGAGGTTCGGGCTCGAAGGCCCCCAAGCCAACGGCACGACGCCTCGGGCGGGCGCCGAGCTCAAGCGATGGGGGGAGGTGGGAAGGAGGAGGCCTTCTCTCAGAGGGCGGCACGACTTCTCGGTGAGCCCTCGCGCCTCCTGAGAAGTTTTCGGCGTCCGCGGGGAAGGCGTAGAACACGTCTCAGAAGGCCGGGGGGCCTTCCGAGCTGGCCCGCCCCTTCTCACTTCCCCCCCGGGCTCGCCGCCGAGCCTTGTCTGCGCAGCCCCGCCCTGGTGCCCAACGCTGGTGCCACCATGCCGCCGCGGTACCTCCCCCCCCCCCTCGGCCAGGCACCGCTCTTCCTCCTCCTCCTCCTCCTCCTCCTCCTCCTCCTCCTCCTCCCTTGCCGTGGCATCGCTCGGACGTGTGCAGTTTCGTTCGGCGAGGCCACTGCGAGAACGTCTAGACCGTCCAGGAGCAT